TTTCACCCTCTCCAAGACAGACTTGTTTTCTTGGTGGTCCATGGTATAGTCAAGACTCTTGTCCAGCATCACAACCCAAAGGCATCCTTCTTCTGTCATGCTTAGTCATTGTCCAGCTCTCTGATGCATAGCAAGTAGGAGCATAATTAACACGTTGCCGCACACTTTTAAATTGACAACCGTGCTTAGAAACACATTTTGCCGTCATTTGTGGCAACATGTTAAGTGCTCTGGAATTCTCATTCTATCATTAGCTTTCTTCTCAATACATTGCTTGTTGTAATCCATCAAGTCAATTGCCTTTGCATAACCAATTCAACACAGAGAAAAAGTCTTCTGGTATTGTCTGATTTCAATCAGGATCCACCTGAAATCAGCAATGGTATCTTCTAAACCTAGCCTGAACTTCTGGAAGTTCCCTGTCAATGTACTGTGCCAGTTTTTTTTTGTATGATCTTCAACAATATTTTGTTTGCATGTGACATTTGTGATACTGTTCAATAATTTCCAAATTCTGTTGCATCACCTTTCTTAGAAAAGGAAACAAATATGGATCTCTTCCAGTTAGTTGGCCAGGAAGTTGTCCTCTAAATTTCCTGGCATAGCATGGTGAGCATGTCCAGTGTTACATCTGTTAGTTGAAATACGTCAACGGGCATCTTATCTATTTCAAAGGCCTTATTTTTTGCCAGTGTCTTCAACACAGCACGAACTTTTTCCTTCCTTTTCACTGGCTCTTGTCCATATGGTGCTTCCTAAAATGTTTCAGTGTCAACCTATTGTTTTTGGTACAGTGACTCTGTATATTCCTTCCATCTTACTTTGATCATTCAAGATTTTGCCCTTAGCATCTCTCAGTATTGCAACTTGAGGCCTGATTTACCAAAAGGTCGGGGGTATAAACCCATTAGCTGCTCCAAGGGAGAAGGATGTGGCAGTCTGCTTCTATAAAGACTGACAAATTTAGAAAACCTGCGAGTCAGTTTCGCCCAGCCTATGCTCTGAGTCAGTCAGAACTGACTCCACAGAAAGGGGATTCATGTTTTTGGTTCATTCACATTTGGAGTGGAGCGGTGGGTACTAACATCATTTTCTCTTATGAAAGGCTCTCAACCTGCCAATGGAGCATTTCATACTTTATAACCTGATAAAAATCTATGGGATAGGGAGAATGAAAAGAGGAAAAAAATATCTTAAAATGGCTTCCACATAAAAAGTTCATCTTTCTGACCACATGGAAAGGCACTGGGCTATCAATTGTCTTGACACTGCTGTAAATCACGGTTGAGGTTACCTTTGACTTTTGTCCTTTTCCAACTCACTCCTACAAAACAAATCTAAGATGAGGGGACAAGATTTCCTCTGTATACTAGCAACAAACTGCAAGGAAGCTGGGTTTTTTTACTCCTATTCACCAAGGAGATAATCAGCCCAAACACCCCACCACCCTAATCTCATCAGTTTTACAAGGTTACCAGTGCCCTTGGAAATATGATTAACCAGCATGTCAGAGCTGGTAGCAGAGGAAATGTGCTGCACTCTACCAAGGCTGCCCAGGGTCACTTCCCCTCAAACAGGAGTATTATTACATAATTCCCCATCTCCACTCTTTTCACTCATAAGGCAACAAAGAAAGAATAGCTAATTAATCACCAAAGATGGCTCCTGTTTCTCCCATTTTTTAGCAAGACTGCACAAAAGTCAAGGTCAATTTTGGCTTTTCCTTAGGATGTTGTTGTTGTTGTGCACCGTGGAGTCAGATCCGACCCATAGCTGACTTTCCAGCGGGTTTTCTGAGGCAGTTAATCCAGTACTGCAGCGTAGAGATCCCCATTTCCTTAGGATAGGACTCTCAAAACTTTGAGTATTTATTGATTAACTGATCTTCTCTGATGGCCTAGTGGTAAGAAGCTGCACTGTAATACCAAAGGCACAAGGTTCAAATCTACCAGTTGCTCCAAAGGAGAAAGAAGGATGTGTCATTTCCTCCTGTGCAAATTACCTACCTCTGAAAACCCTCTAGACGCCATCTATGAGTCAGTTCTGCCTCAGCAGCACACAACAATAACAATAAGAGAGGCAGGATTAAGTGAGATAATGTTCATGAATGGGACCTTCTAAGAATCAAATCCCTATGCTCATCTGAAAACTTCTCCTACAAGCTAAAAAGGGAAGCCACAGACTGGAAAAAAAGTATTTGGTAATGACATGTCAGATAAGGGACTTAAATCTAGAATTTATAAAATACTCGAGCACCACAACAAGATAAAGGAGTGAACTGAGGGGAGGGCGTGGTCAGGGAGAAAAGTGCAACAATGAATGAGTGGAAACCCTAAATCTCTGTACATTTTCATTAAAATTAATAGGAAAAAAATTCTTAACAACAAAAAACAAAAACAAAAAAAAAACACAACAAAAACAAACCCATAACCAAACAAGATAAAGGTAAACAGCCCAATTGAAAAATGGGCACAAGATATGAACAGACCACCAGAGAAGACATTCAGATGGCAAACAAACACGTGAAGTTGTTGTTGTTATGTGCCGTCAAGTCATTTGCAACTCATAGTGACCCGATGTACAACAGCCCTACACTCTGCTCTACCCTGTGCCAATCTCACTGTCTCTGACACACCCATCCTGATTACCACAGTCACTGAATCAATCCACCTCATAAAGGCCCTTCCCATCCTGCGCCACCTACCAAGCATGATGTCCCTCTCCAAGGACCTGTCCCTCCTTACAACATGTCCAAAGTATGTTAGATGGAGCCTCAGAATCCTTGCCTCCAAGGAGCTGCCTGGTTTAACCCTTTCCAGGATGAATCTGTTTGTTTTCCTAGCAGTCCATGGTACCCTCAATACTCTTCTCCAGGACCACAGCTCAAAGGCATCAATTTTTCTTCTGTCCTCCTTAGTCACTGTCCAACTCTCTGATGCATAACAAGTGATTGTAAAGACCATGGCCTGTATCAGATGCACCTTAGTCTCCAGAGAGACACCATTGCTCTTCAGTACTTTCGAGAGGTCCCTAACAGCAGACTTTCCCATCGCAATACGTCTTTTAATTTCCTGGCTACTGGTGCCAAGAGTGTTGACTGTGGAGCCAAGCAAACTAAAGCTGTTCAAAATCCCTAGCTCTAAGAGAGATGCAAGTCAAAACACCTATGGGATATCATCTCACCCCAGTAAAAATAGCAAACTTTAACAGAACAACAAACAACAAATTCTGGCAAAGTTGTGGAGTAATTGGAACCCTTATTCACTGTCGGTGGGAGTGTAAAATGGTACAACCATTATAGAAGGCTGTATGGCGCTTTCTCAAAAAGTTGCAAATAGAAATACCATTTGACCCAGCAATTCAACTACTGAGAGTATACCCTAAAGAAACAGGAACTGCCACCCAAGCAGATATATGCTCACCCATGTTTACTGTGGCTTCTTTCCACAATAGCAAAAAGTTGGAAACAACCCAGGTGCCCATCAACAAACAAATGGATAGTGAAGCTACGGTATATTTACACAATGAAATACTATGAAGCTTTGAAAAACAAGGAACTCATGAAATATTATACAAAAGGGGTGACCCTGGAAGACATTATTCTGAGTAAAATATCTTAGTCACAAAAGGACGAATTCTGCGTAGTGCCACTGTTGTAAAGCAGGTCTGACATTGGGGTTAGGGAGAAACTAAGAGGAGATAAATAATGTATACTGCAGTGAAACAGATGAGGGAGAGAACGGTTTAGGAGGAATATATGATTAGGTATTACTGTCATGAAAAGAGTTCAGAATAAAAACTGCATAGTAGAGTGGATGGGGTGGAGGGGTTGTATAACAATGAAAGATTTTTTTTAATTTTTTAATTTTTTTTTTTTTTTTTTTTACTTTTCAAAGAGAAAAATGAACTAGGGGGATGGATGGGCAGGGAGGAAAGTGTGCAACAATGAATGAATGGAAATCCAAACATAAAAAATAATCATGACATTCTTTTACTTAAAAAAAGAAAAGGAAGAAAGAAAGAAAGAAAATGCTTTGCCAGGGTGAAGTCTGACAGCCATGCTGACACTGAATGTCCCACTGGAGGTCTTCAGGTGGGAAGCTTATGTGGTAGTAACTAAGATCAAACTTGGGAAATTGAGCTGACCCGGCGTGCACACAAGACGCCTTGATGGATCTGTGGTTAAGCTCTCACTGCTAACTAAAGTCAGCGCCTTCCGTTCTCTAGCTGCTCCACAGGAAAGAGATGTGGCAGTCTTTCTGAAAAGATTTACAGCCTTGGAGGCCCTATGCAGGGATTCTCCTCTGTGTTGTTGCTGTGTGTCATCTAGTAGGAACCAACACACCCTCCAGCAGGTTTCAGGCACTGTGAATCACACTGGAAGAGAATACCCATCTTTCAACCACGGAGGAGCAGATGGATTAGAAACATATGCCTTTGGGGTGGCAGTATCACTCCGTTGTCCACCAGGTCACCAGTATTACCTACTCTGTTTAGTCGCTATGTGCCATTGAGTCAGAACTGACCCATAGCTGATCCTCCAGGGGGTTTTCAAAGGCAGTAAATCACAAGACAGGAGACTGCCCATATCTGACCATAGACCAACTGATGGATTTCAAACCACTTAGCTTTGGGAGTGCAACACAATTTCTTACCACTAGGCCAAGAGAGTTCCCTACTCTGTTGTGCTGGTTGAGTACCATCAAGTTGAATCCAACTCATAGCTGACCCTCCAACGGGTTTTCAGAGGCTGTAATCACGTGGGAGGAAACTACCCATTCTTCTCCTGCGGAGCAGCAGGCAGATTCAAATTGCATGCCACTTGGATTGCAGTTTCTTAGCACGAGGCCACCAGAGCTCTACCTGCTCTGTCAGAAGCAACTCCGTGACAGCAGGCAACATGTACACAGTCCTCCTAGTGGTTCACACCCAGAGCAGTGATTGCTCTAAGCCCACTCCCAGCCCCCAAGTGTACAAAATCACCCAAGCAACATACTTACTCCCTTCGCTCTGACTGTCTTTGTTGGAGTTGTAGACCTGGAAAAGAGAAATAAAAACTTACTTGTATGTATTTTATAGCATCCTACAGGTTCACCGAAAGAACATGTTAACGTGCTTCCTTCCCGCCCCCTTATTTGTCTTCGTCCTCCCCCTAGCTTGTGCCATAAGGTAGAAGGCAGTTTGGCCCCAAACATGAACCCTTCTCCACAATGATCTACTTTCTAGTATTATCTTTAGTAGTTCTTAAGAGACTGAGCATCAGAATCATGTGTGGAACATTAGTTAGTGTTTTGTTTTTTGGTGTGGGTTTTTGTTTTTTTTTAGAAAATGTCCTACAATGTGTACCTTATTCCATATCATTATACAATGTTTACATATAGTTATAACTCTTAGGGGGGAAAATGCTGTTTTAACAGAAGTAAATAAACGTGTGCATTTAAGATAAAAAGGAACAAATTTTAAAAAATGAAGTTAAAATTCATTAAGAACTCTGCAGCAGAGTTCTATATGCTAAACACTTCACATGCATTATGTCAACTTGTTGGGTAGGAACTGTTATGCCCCTACCCAGTGCGGAGTCTGAGGCTGACAGGTTAACTAGAGTCCGGTAAGTGTTAAGCGGCAAGTCAGGATAAAGACACATTACAAACTGTTTAGTGTACCACTGAGGAACAGGACTAATCACTTTTTACTTTCTGTTGTTGAGTAAAATTTAATGTAATAAGGTTAATATAAGATTTTTACAATTAAAATTCTTTACATTTTCATCGAACATAGAAAAATGTGCTCACTATAAAATCAGCAACGATATATTGCAAGGGTCGGCAAGTTTGGGGTGGTTTTATGTCTTTTTTTTTCTGTGAAGCTCCAAAGAATGAATATTTTAGGCCATATACTCCAAGAGGTAAAAATCAAAGATACAATGTAGGTACTTATATAATGAAAATGGAGCTCAATGGCATAGCCTGCACAGTGTTGCACTGCAACCAAAAAGCTGCGTGTCTGATGATTTAAAGTCACCATCAGCTGAAGAAAAGGAAGACAGGCAGCCTCTTCAAATTCATGGTTCACAGTTTCAGAGGTAGGGTGACTCTGAGTAAAAATCACCTTGATGACAATGGAGTGTGGTTTTGTTTTGGTTTTGCATTTTATATAAATAAAGAAAACACATTCCTACAAAAAATGTCTGCTGATACAAATGGGTTGAGAAATTATAGTACATTCACACAATAAATGCAACTAAGCAGCACACAAGAGCAATTGTAAATTACTACCTAACTTGTGAGAAACTGGAGAGCATTACGCTAAGTGAACGAACTCAGTCCCACAAGACAAATGATGTATAAGACCACTACTGTAGAAAGTGTATGAGGATCCAAGGAGGGGTAGAGGGGTGAGGATGGCGGGTGAGGGTGAAGGTGTGTTAATCATAAGGTTATAAAATTTGATGGGTGGAGAAGTGAAGGAAATGAGAAAGCTCTGATGTGAAAAACAATGTATAGAACTCTATAAATTAACCAGTAAAAATTAAAAAAAAATTCTCCTAATAAAATGTAAACATAATCATGAATAATTTGGTACAATTTTTTTGGAGCTCAAGTCTATTCATGAATAAATTAAATCCTTTTTTGTGGGAGAAGAAGGAATATTTTTATTTGAGGTTCAAAGTTACCAACTTCTTCACATTAAATCAACTACAAATATTTGTAGGTAAAGACTACACTTAGCTTACAAGTTATTAAATTAAAGCTAATATGTATTGGATTTGGCTGTGAGCCATAATTTTTCAGTCCTTTAAGATGAAACCTCTTGGAAAAGAAAAAAAACAACATAGTATCCTAACTCTTTTTTATTGACTATGATTCCGTAGATTTGGAAAGGCACAGAGAGAGGCTAGTTTTCAGAAAATATAAAGAAATGAAAGGCAACCAAGAGGTTCTGAAGGTGAAAACATTTTTTTTTAACTCTAGAGAGCCTGAGTCAAGTATTTCTTTAAAGAATCTTTAAGAAAGAAAAAAAAAGACTTCCCTCACCCATGGGTGGTTGTTGTTGTTGTTGTTATGTGCCGTCGTTTGCGACTCATAGTGACCCTATGTACAGTAGCCCTAAAACCTGCTCTATCCTGTGCCAATCGCACTGCCTCTGACACTCCCATCCCAATTACCCCAGTCACTGAATCAATCCACCTCAGACAGGGTCTTCCCCTCCTGTGCTGTCCCTCCACCCTTCCAAGCATGATGTCCCTCTCCAAGGACCTGTCCCTCCTTACAACATGTCCAAAGTATGTCAGACGAAGCCCCAGAATCTTTGCCTCCAAGGAGTAGCCTGGTTTAACCCTCTCCAGGATGAATCTGTTTGTTTTCTTGGAAGTCCATGGTACATTTAATACTCTTCTCCAGCACCACAGCTCAAAGGCATCAATTCTCCTTCTATCCTCCCTAGTCATTGTCCAACTCTCTGATGCATAACAAGTGATTGCAAGACCACGGCCTGTATCAGACACACCTTAGTCTCCAGAGACACACCATTGCTAACAGCTGACTTTCCCATCGCAATACATTTTTTGATTTCCTGGCTGCTGGTGCCAAGAGTGTTGACCGTGGAGCCAAGCAAACTGAAGCTGTGAACAATCTCAATCTCTTCGCCAGCCATCCTGATGCTGCCAACTGGCCCAGTGGTGAGACTCTTTGTCTTCTTGACATTGAGCCTCAGTCCATATTGAAGGCCGCAGTCCCTGACCCTCTCCAACAAGTGCACGAGGTCCTCCTCAGTTTCAGCAAGCAGGGTTGTATCATCTGCATAACGCAGATTGTTGCTAGATCTTCCACCAATCCTATGCCACACTTCTCATAGAGCCCAGCCTCTCAGATAATCTGCCCTGCATACAGGTTAAAAAGGTATGGAGACATCACACATCCCTGGCATACACCCTTTCCAATTTTGAACCATGCAGTGTTGCCCTGCTCTGTTCTGACGACTGCCTCTTGGTCCAAGTATAGGTTTTGCATTAGCACGATTAAATGTTCTGGGATTCCCATTCTTCTCAGAGTCAGCCACAGTTTGTTATGATCCACACAGTCAAATGCCTTTGCATAATCAATGAAACACAGATAGACATTCTTCTGGTATTCCCTGCTTTCAGCTAAGATCCATCTAACATCAGCTGTAATATCCCTAGTACCACGGCCCCTTCTAAACACAGCCTGGACTTCTGGCAGTTCTCTGTTGATGTGCTGTTCCAGTCGTTTTTGGATAATCTTCAGTAGAATCTTGCTTGCATGTGAAATCGATGATATTGTTCTGCAGTTTCCACACTCTGTTGGGTCACCATTCTTTGGAATGGGAACAAATATAGATCTCTTCCAGTCAGTTGGCCAAGTGCTTGTTAGTTCCAAATAAATGAGGGAGTGGGGAAGGTAAATGCAGTAAAATATGGCTGACTCCTCCAGAGCTGAGAATTAGCTGGTCCAGTCAAGCCCCTCAATTGCCTTGTTGCATTGAGCAAGTCCTTAACCTCTCTGAACCTCTACTGTGCTTCTGTAAATGGAAAAGTTGGCTAAGGAATTTGTTACCTAACTCAGACAAATCACTTACTTTATTATTACTGCTGATGTCAGGCGGATCATGGCTGAAAGCAGAGGATATTAGAAAAGATATTTCATTGTATTTTATTGACTACGCCAAGGCATGCAATCATGTAGATCTTAACAAATTATGGATAACATTGAGAAGAATGGGAATTGCAGAATGCTTAACTGTGCTCATGCAATACCTATACATAGACTAAGATGCAGGTGTCTGAACAAAACAAGAGAACACTACATGTTTTTAAATAAGGATTATATAAAGGTTTTATCTTTTCTCTACACCCATTCAATCTATATGCTAAACAAACTATTTGAGAAGCTGAACTTTATGGAAAAAAAATGTGGCATCAGGTTTGGAGAAGACTCATCAACAACCTGCATTATGCAGAGGACATAACCTTGCTTGCAGAAAATGAACAAGACTTGAAGCACTTGCTGCAAAAGGTCAACCCAAAACCCTCCAACAAGGATTACAACTCAACATCAAGAAAACAAATCTTTACGATTGACCAAATGGCAATATCATGATAAACGGAGAAAAGATTGGAGTTGTAAATGAATTCATTTTGGATCCACAATCGACACCTGTGGTAGAAAACAGTCAAGAAATCAAAAGATGTGTTATTCTGGGGATAATCAGCTGTCAAAGATGTCTCCCAGGTTGTGAAGAGCAAGGATGTAATTTTAAAGACTTATGTGTACCTGATCCAAGACCCAGTCTTTTCAATTACTTCCTACAATTACTTCCTATGTATCTGGAAGTTGGAAAACGAATAACAAAGACTGATGAGAAATCAATGCCCTTGTGTGGTGTTAGTAAGGAGTACTGAATAAACCATTGGACTGCCAAAAGAACAAACAAGATTTTAAAGGAAATGCAACCAGAGTGCTCCTGAATGATGAAACTTGGCTCACCTACTTTGGCCACGTTGTTAGGAGGGGGTTGGTCCTTGAGAAAAGACAACATATGGGAGTCAGAGAAAAAGAGGTAGATCTTCAACAAGACGGACTGACACAGTGACTGTGTAACAATGGGCTCGGACAAGGCTGAAATAAGAGGCTGGCACAGGAGAGGGTAAGGTCCAGGCCTGGGAGTCATAAGGTGGCTATGAATTGTAGTCAATCCCACAGCACCTAACAACAACAAGAATTCATTTCCTAAAGAAAACTACAGCTCAACACCCCATTACTAAAGGTCAGAAAGATGCTAAGAGGAACAGATTTCTATATATAAGGAAAGTTGACTGGTGAATGAGAAGTCACTATTGTATAGACTTTAAAGTTCAGAGATGAGAAGACAAAAGACTGATTTTTGGCTTCAGGCTTATAATCAGTCACGTCATCATGATAATATTTGTTTCTTTATCTACAACACAGGGATGATGGGAGTTACCAGTTTAACACTTCCAGGTTTGTTTTAAGGATCAAATTTGATGTAGGCAAATGTTA